CGATATATTTCGGATTCTTGGAATCCATCTTCAGGGTCTGTAAAAAATCGACATATGATTTAACATTTTGTATGAATAATTTGAATATTTTGGCTTTAAATAATAAATTACCAAGAGTTTAAACTCTAATAGTGAACCCGATTCAATGGGGTAGCGGACATAGGTTCCCAAACGGACCGGTCCGTGGTCCGTCGGTCCGCGGACCGACGGACCAGACTCACGGACCAACTGACCAAATTCACGGACCGACGGACCGGACTCACGGACGTATGTTTTTACTATCTAAATCAATTCAAGATGAAATGACACTACGCCTTTGAGAATATTCTTTGAGAAGACTATTGTGTAAGTATTTTTACGATGGCTCGGTTATTTTTTATTTCAGCTTTTGTACGAATTTTAAAGCACTGAGTGCTTAATTTATTGTGCTGAATAAAAATAGCGTCTCCTTCGGCTGCGCATGCTCACATTGGCTTATTCTCGATCTGCTCAACATCTTTCGTGTTTACTAGAGTGGTCCAAAAAAAAAAGATGGTCGAAGAAAAAAAGTAACGTCCAGTTTCGAAAAATATACCTCAATAAAATAGGTTTTGTCCAAAAAAACGATATGGGTACCATATAAAATTCCGTGCCAAGTCCCATATGCAAATTTTCATGACAGCGATTTCGGAAGCCATTTTAGATCGCAACATTTCGACCGATTCCACTATTCTAGCCAATTTTCGGCAAAAACTGTTGATGGGAGTTTGTTTGGCTCGTCAATATCTACAACTTTTACCAAGACATCAGCCCTTGAAAAGGCCTTCTGGGCCAGTTACAGTGTAAAATGACCGAAAAAATGGCAAATTTTCGGCAATTTTCGCATTTTTTGCTCTACTGGTCACCCAGGCGGTAAACTTTTGTTCAGTTTTTGACTTTTATCGTGTAGCTAGAACCTGGACAAACATTTTGGTACTTGTCAGACTGCGATTTGGATGGAATTTGGCGACAATTGATTCACACATATAAGACAAATTTCTGGCCAAAATGAGCAAATCATAAACATGAGCTTCGGTTTGACAGGTAAAAGCAAATGATTTCTACCTTTTCTGCCTTTGAACATCTAGTATGGTCATTTACAAACATTTTGGGTACTTACATGACCAAATTGAGTGATGTTTTCACATATTTCTGGCCGCATATTCGATTTCAACTCCCAAAACATCGACTTTTGACCGAAAAATCCTTAAATATAGGCTTTTCAGGGATAGTATCTTAGCACAAAGTTATTTTTTCTCGAAAATAGGGGGAGGCTACCCAGACAAAAACTCTCAAAATTGCTTTTTTAAGGTACCTCCCGAACAAAATATACGTTTTTCATGGATTTTACTATGAAAATATCAATTTTTGTTCGGAAGGTACCCCAAAAATCATTTATAGGAGCTTCTGTGTGAGTAGATTCCCAATATTTCTCGAAAAAAATAACTTTGTACTAAGAAACTCATCCAAAAAGTGTATTTTTGGGGTACCTCCCGAACAAAAATTGATAATTTCATAGAAAAATGCATGAAAAACGTATATTTTGTTCGGGAGGTACCTTAAAAAGTCAATTTTGAGAATTTTTGTCTGGGTAGACTCCCCATATTTTCGAGAAAAAATAACTTTGCGTCAAGACACCACCCCTAATAAGCCTATACTTAAGGATTTTTTGGTCAAAAGTCGATTTTTTGGGAGTTTAAATCGAATATGAGGCCAGAAATATGTGAAAACATCACTCGATTTGGTCATGTAAGTACCCAAAATGTTCGTAAAGGACCATACTAGATGTTCAAAGGCAGAAAAGGTAGAAATCATTTGCTTTTACCTGTCAAACCGAAGCTCGTATTCGTGATTTGCTCATTTTGGCCTGAAATTTGTCTTATATGTGTGAATCAATTGTCGCCATAGTTCATCCAAATCGCAATCTGAGAAGTACTAAAATGTTTGTACAGGTTCTAGCTACACGATAAAAGTCAAAAACTGAACAAAATTTTACCGCCTGGGTGACCAGTAGGGCAGAAAATGCGAAAAATGCCGAAAATTTGCCATTTTTTCGGTCATTTTACACTGTAACTGGCCCAGAAGGCCTTTTCAAGGGCTGATGTCTTGGTAAAAGTTGTAGATATTGACGAGCCAAACAAACTCCCATCAACAGTTTTTGCCGAAAATTGGCTAGAATAATGGAATCGGTCGAAATGTTGCGATCTAAAATGGCTTCCGAAATCGCTGTCATGAAAATTTGCATATGGGACTTGGCACGGAATTTTATATGGTACCCATATCGTTTTTTTGGACAAAACCTATTTTTTTGAGGTATATTTTTTGAAACTGGACGTTACTTTTTTTCTTCGACCATCTTTTTTTTTTGGACCACTCTAGTGTTTACCAATAACAACCAATAATTAAAAGAATGTAGAATGTTAGTTGATCGTACATTATATTTGAAAAACATAAAACACAATGATCCAACCAAATTCAGTTAGAATAATTTTCCTAATGATGAAATTACTATTGATCAACTATTCGATGCGTCTTTTGCACAAGATTTTCCATTGGTTCATAAGTCTTGGTTTGGTTTTATATGATTTCTCGAAAAGGCATTTTTTCCAGCTCTTCGGGAATTATCATGATAACAATTTTACTATTTCACGTTTATCAACTAATGATCATGTTTTTCTTGTGGAATTTTGAAATTTTGAACGAAATTAAGCAAAAAGTTATGAATTTCATTGATTTCTGTGTTGTGTTTGTTTTTTTACTTGGCGAAGCATTCTCTAAGCTCTGAATCAAAGGCTCTTAATCAAATATCGTAATTTTCACAAATCGAGAGCCGGAAAAACAAAATGACAATTCACACCATAAGTGAAAAACCGCTGATTAATTAACCGTTTGGTGCTGATTAATGAATCGTGTTTTATAACTAAATCAGGAATGTATGGTAAATGAAGTAATTGAAAAGAAGCATTTACTACGTCACTTTAGGGTATACAAAAAAATATTAATTGAAATACCTTTTTGAGCCATTTTTCGTCCAAATCATGCCAAATTGTAAAATTCACACCAAAATTCATTCATTCTAGTTGTCGATTAAATGAATCACGAATGCGTCGTGTTTTATATGTTTATTCAGGAATGTGTGGTAAATACTTTGTAAAAGAATTAATCAAAAAGAAGCATTTATTTTCAAATGTAAATGAACATTGTTTGGTCCGTCGGTCCGTCGGTTCGTGAATTTGGTCCGTCGGTCCGTGAGCCCGGTCCGTTCGCGGACCGACGGACCACGGACCACGGACCGGTCCGTTTGGGAACCTATGTCCGCTACCCATTCAATGCACAGCAAGTGAATGAAGTGTCAAAGTGACACAAAAATATAAGCCCGAAAAAATGTACATCGCCGAAAAAAGGCTATGACAGAAAAAACCTATTAATCTAAACCTGTTAACATTAATTAGTCTAATAGCATCTCACAAAAACAAAGAAAACTATTTGCAACTCTTAATTAGATTCACATAAGTGTTTGAGTAGTCTTTTTTATCAGTCTTTTCATTGCACGCGTTAGATTCGAATTTAATGATTTGGTTAACTTCATGTATTTGTAGTTTTGTTTTGTTTCTTTCTCTTTTTAGAATTTTTCCATCATCAAATTTGAATCTGTGGCCAAGATTTTTTGCATGTTTTGCTAAAGCCGACAAATATTTCGTTAAAGGTTTGCTGCAATCACCTTCATGTTGTGCTTGCCTTACTCCGAACTTCTGTATCGTCTCGCCAATATATACGGCTAATGTGAATCTAATTAAGAGTTGCAAATAGTTTTCTTTGTTTTTGTGAGATGCTATTAGACTAATTAATGTTAACAGGTTTAGATTAATAGGTTTTTTCTGTCATAGCCTTTTTTCGGCGATGTACATTTTTTCGGGCTTATGTTTTTGTGTCACTTTGACACTTCATTCACTTGCTGTGCATTGAATCGGGTTCACTATTAGAGTTTAAACTCTTGGTAATTTATTATTTAAAGCCAAAATATTCAAATTATTTATACAAAATGTTAAATCATATGTCGATTTTTTACAGACCCTGAAGATGGATTCCAAGAATCCGAAATATATCGGTTAAAAAATTGAGATTTACGTTTTTTCATTTCGGAACGAAAGTGGAGGCAACACAAACATTGCACTTGTGTGCTGTCATTAAGTAAACATCTGTTCTGGCAATACAACACAAGCCAAATTCAATTTGGCAAATCAAAATAACTCTTTATATTTTCCATTTTGATTTGATTAGGTCGTTTGGACGGATTCCACGTGCCAGTTGTTTACATTCTCGTGTCAGAAAAAGTGAAGAGACATACAACTCAATTTTTCGAGCAATTTTGAATTTGGAACCAGCCATCAATCCGAAGATGTCGTCATTGATTTTGAGTTGGCCGCGCTCAATGCGGTGCTGCTTTTTTCATTTTTCTCAGAACATTTGGCGCCACATTCAATTGGTTGGCCTGCAAAGGATTCACAACGAAGACGCTGAATTCGCTTTCCAGCTAAGATTGTTGATCGCATTGGCATTTTTACCGAGCGGCAGCATTGTTGAAGCGTATGAGGAGCTTGCTGACACTGATTTCTACGATGGATCAAATGAACACAAAGACACAATTGAACAATTGCTTACGTATTTCCAACAAACGTTTCTGTTCGCATTCGATAAGAACGGAAAACGGAAAGCACCCCGCTTCCCTCCGGAATTGTGGAGCGTTTACAAAATTATGTTGTCTGGTAAATAAAAAGTTTTTCTAACTGAACTCTATTTATTGGTCAATTTGCTAATCCATTTCACCTTCTACGGTCGATTCAACAGCCATATTCAACAATTCGTTAGGGTGCAGTCACACTAGGAAACATTTTACTGGAAATATGGAAAAAAAAGTGTTTGTTTCCAGCATCTTTTTTTCCATACATTTGCGAAAATTTGTTTCCATGTTTCCAGTAAAATGTTTCCTAGTGTGACCGCACCCTTAGGTTTATCCCAATTTATTAACACATTTTTTTGTCACAGGTTTTACAAAGCACAATTACCATGCGGAGGGGTGGCACAATCGAATGGCTCAATTTATGGGCGTGCACCCAAGTATTTTCAAGTTTTTTAGTGGAATAAAAAATGAACAAGACCTTCAAGAACTGGAAATGGCGCGCATTGAAGCAGGAGCAGATCCAGCTGTAAGAAAGGCTGCTTACGTCAAAAGTGAGAAACGGCTCGTTGAGCTTGTGAAGAAATTTGATGCAAATATTCACGACGGATCGTTTCTACCGTATCTACATTCGATCGCACACAATGAACGTTTTTAAAAACAACAGACAATGCAATCCAACGTAATTTATTTATTTTTTTTGAACTAAGTTTGACCGAAACATCAAAATGATAAACCATTCGTTATTTACGTATATTTCTTTCAACAAAAAATCATAGTTTAACTCGAGAATTTAAGTCATTTTTATGCGATTTAGCGAAACAAGTCCAGAAACTATTTTGCTTGAATTGAACACAAAAAAAACATGAAAGCAAATAAAAAAAAAACATTTCCATTTTGAATATCACAGTGCAACATTTTTTCGGCCATCGATGCGGGCATAAGTTTTGAGTATCGCTGCTGAAAGTACTTGCCAAAACTAGAAATTCTGCATCAATCGTTTTGTCAACTTGGCTCATATTTTCATTTTATCAAATTGTGTATTTTTGACTTAAACTGGATTTTGAGCACTTTTTCGACATTTTCACAAGGCTATATCTCGGCAAAATTGTAGGTATTGAATGGGAGAAAAAAAATGAAAAATAAACCTACCCAAAAAAATGCATCTAGGGCCTCAAAATCGCAAAAATGCTCTTTTTTACCATTTTTCAACAATAACTCGCAGCGTATCCAATTTTTATGGCCACTTTCTCAAGCAATTTTGTGGGTATCGTATAACTAGACAACTTTGCTTAACATAATTACCCAGAAAAGTCATGTTCTATCTACCTTTTTGGCTCAAAATCACTCTTTGGTACCAAAAATGGTCATTTTGTTGTAAATTTTGGCCTATTACATGCAAATATCTGTATATCTTTCCACATTTTTTGCTTGGATTTTCGTTAAGGTGTCTTTTAAGATAATGTGGACTTGTTTTTAAGCTAGTCTAGTGGAAAAAATCTCTAATTTGTAGGAAAATTTTGAGTTTTGGACCAATTTTTAAGCGTTTGGTGGACATTTGGCCAAAAGAAGTCATGACAACAGCCATATTTTTCAGCTAAGAACATCAGCTTTAAAATGCCATAC